GAATTCAATATAATCTCTCAAGTGTATAATAGAGTAAAAACTCTATGAAGATTAAAACAAGAGCAAAAGCCCTTTTAATCTTTACTGGAATCTCTCAAGTGGAATAAGAGTGAATGAGAGAGATGAAGAGAAGATGAGAACAAAAGCTCTCTTTGCAATGTAATATAATGTCTCTCAAAATGGTGTTTTTTATGTTACAGACCAACCTCTGTATTTATATATAAACGGAGTTCAATATAGCTGTTACAGGTGGTTAGGAAATAATAAATGCAAAAGTTTCCGTTGCAGTTCAAAACCCCAGAAGGAGCGGGCTCTTGTAAAACAAGAGGAGGCGGCTCCCTAGCCTTGAGAGCCGGCTCTCCATTGCATGGAGCCGGCTCTCAGCCTCTGAGAGCCTGCTCCCTATTTTGGGAGCCTGCTCTTTGGTTGGAAGATTCATTTTTCGTTGAAAAATAACTACTAGAGTTGTAAGAGCATGCTTTGTCTTTTACAGAGCCGGCTCTATTCTTTGAGAGCTTGTTCTATCTTTATGGAGCCTTCTCCATTTTCATGGAGCCTTCTCTATTTGCATGGAGCCTTCTCTATTTTTTTTCATGGAGCCTTCTCTATCTTTCATAGAGCCTGCTCTATTGGCCTTGTGAGAGCTGGCTTTATTTCTTATAGAGGCGGCTCTTGCTTCATGAAGGCTGCTACTAAATTGGATTGGACAGAAAAAGTACATGACTTCAAATGGACATAACTCAGTCCATGAAACTCCAAATGAGGTAAAATTTAAGTCTATATTTATTGTCTTGAAGTCCGCTTTCTAATGCCACCAGCCTTGCTCAAAATTTCTAACCACAGAAATAGTTATGGCCATTTTAGGACAACCTGGTCAGAAATTTCACAGAGCAGAATCAGGCATCTTGTGATGGTTATATCTCACTCAATTCAAATCCGTTTTAGGTGAAATTTGAGTCTAAACTCAAGGGATCGAAGTCAGATTTCTAATGCCACTAGCCTTACATAAAAATGACAACTACACAAATAGTTATAGCATTTTTAGTACAGGCTGGTCTGAAATTTTTCTGGTCTGAAATTTTTCTGGGCTGAAAATTGCTTCTTATGAGATATCCATCTTTCTAGCACCTAGGACTTTGATGAATGGTTCAATTTAGTTCAAGGCCTATTTCTAAGAGTCTAGGGACATATGAAGATGATAAATTTTAAGTGCATTGTGTCCTAGAGTCATTTACCAAATTATGGCAACAAAGGCTTTAAAGATGAAATATTAAGTTCAATGCCTTTTCATTTTCTTTTTAGAGACCAAAATAAATATTATGATTAATGTGCATGGTCCTAGCATTTCTAGCTTAAGTTGTGAGTTCTTTCAATGCTTATACAAGCTTAAACTAACTTATTCTTAGCAAAGACTTCATATGTTAAATATATATGCATTGAAGTTCATAGTCTATTGCTAATGATGTAGGAGCATATAAATGATGTATGATATGCATGGTCCTATAGAGATGAGCTTCAAATGAATTCATAAATACTTTGACATTAAATCTTAAGCTCTTACCATCCTATCTACCCTTTTCTTCATTCTTTGACCATGATCGTTTAGGCTTGATGAAGATTTGCTTTGTTTCTTTGAAATGCTTTGTGTGATCTTTGAAGTCCGAGTTTTTCTTTGATTTCTTACAACTTTGAGGCTTCCTTGAATCCATTGCTTAAGTGCTTGGAATGCTTGGAATAGATCTTCTAGCTCATCATTGAGGATTGAATATTGATCAACTACACATCACTCAATGAAATTATTAGTACTTAAACATCATTAATGATTTGTAATCATCAAAACATAAGATTGACCTTTAGATAAAATCCTTAGCCCAACAGTCATATTTGTGTTTTAGGGATGACGTACATCCCTCTAGACTTTGTTTTCATCTGAAATGACCATTTTGCCCTTTTGGGGGCATACTTGGTCTATTTTCACCGTTTTGCTTCTGTATTTGTTTTCTTTTGGTTTCGTGGCTTCATAGGAAGCCATGTTTGTGTCTTAGGGATATCGAATATCCCCATAGACTTTGTGTTTTGTTTTCGGTTCCGCATTTCGGATCCATTATCGAGTCAACTTTTGGGCCACATTGACATATTCGTGTTTGTGAAAATTCGGAACGTCACACTCTAGTTGTTTCCCTTGTCAAGTTTTACTTTTTCATTGTATTTATGAATTTCTTGGTGTTTTTTCAGTATCGTTTCCATCCTCGGTGGCTAAGAGGAGACTTGATTTTCTTAAAGAAAAAGTTTGGAAGAACCCTCCGTCCGCTGAAGATCTTCTTTCCTCATCTAATCTTAAAGAACTTGCATCCAATGCTTCAGCAGCTGCCCTTATGGATTTGTCACTTCCATCTTTTGACTGATTTCCTCTAACTAATGAGGAAAAGAAAAAGGGCTGAATGACATGAGGAATTCCAAACCTACATACTATAGACTTCCAAATAAAGTCTTTGACGCTATTTGCGGTGATGGTGGCCAATGGTTGAGCTTCTACCCACTTGGTGAAATAGTCGATTGCACAACAGCGTACTTGGTTTTCCCTTTCCCATTAGCCAGTGGACCAATCACGTCCATTCCCCGTTGAGTAAAGGGCCATGGACTTGACATCGGCACTAGCTCCTCTGGTGGTTGTCTAGGGACATTGGCAAATCGTTGACATTTATCACATTTCCTTACAAATTGCAATGCATCTTTCTGTATGGTGGGCCAATAATAACCTTGATGAACTACCTTGTAAGCCAAGGATCTGCCTCCCGCATGATTTCTGCAAGTGCCCTCATGTATCTCTTTCATGATATAATGAGCTTTCTCTGCTGAAACACAACATAGAAAGGGCAAAGAAAAACCCCTCTTGTAAAGAACTTCATTGACAAGTGTATACCTGGGCGCTCGGATCTTTACCTTCCGAGCTTCCACTGGGTTTTGTGGTAGCTCCCCATCCTTGAGGTACCTAACTATTGAGTCTGCCCACTCTAACCCTGGTGCCAACTGGTTTACTTCCTTGTGCTCTTTGGATGCACTGGGCTCTTCCAAGTACTCAAGTGGTATAGCCATAGTACTCTCAAGCTCTACTGCGGTAGTTAGCCGAACCAATGCATCTGCATTCTCGTTATTAATTCTAGGTATTTGTTTGATTGTCTTGTCATCTTTAGCTCCATACTCTTTACAAACTTGCCCTACAAACAACTGAGAATCAGTAAACACCTTCAATTGTTGCACTCTGAGAGCTTCTGCTAGCTTTAATCCTGCTATTAAAGCCTCGTACTCTGCTTCATTGTTGGTAGCTCTGAAACCAAATCGGAGTGTATATTTCAGATTCTCTCCTTCTGGTATATAATCACTAATCCTGCCCCACAGGCTCGGGTGTTGGATGACCCGTCAACCTAAAGTGACCAAGTATCCTCCGAGTGCATCTAATTTTCAGGATCAGTTTCAGCTAGGGCTATGACCTCATCCTCTTTCAGAGAGGAAGAAAACTCAACCACAAAATTAGCAAGTGCTTGGCCTTTTATTGCTACCCTCAGCTTGTATTGGATGTCGAACTCACCGAGCTCTATTGACCACTTCATGAGGTGTCCTGATGTCTCTCGCTTGTAGAGGACCTGCCTTAGTGGTTGGTCTGTCAGCACCATTATGGTGTGTGCCTGGAAGTATGGTCTGAGTTTCCTTGCTACCACAACTAGTGCAAACGCTAGTTTCTCTATCACCAGGTATCACTCTTCTACTCCCCGAAGTACTTAGCTAGTATAATATACCAGTTTTTGAATACCATTATCTTCCTGACCAATGCTGACCTTACCGCTACAGGGGAAACCGCTAGGTAAAGGTACAATTCATCTCCAAAAATTGCTTGGGACAACAATGGTGGTGAACTAAGATAGTCTTTGAGCCCAATGAATGCCTGCTTGCACTCTGAGGTCCACTCGAAGGCTTTCTTTAGTATCTTAAAGAAAGGAAGACACTTGTCAGTGGCTCGAGAGATTAACCTATTCAAAGCTGCCACCTTTCTTGCTAGCCTCTGAACCTCTTTGGTTGATTTAGGTGATTTCATATCCAGTATTGCCTGAATCTTCTCAAGGTTTACTTCGATTCCCCTTTGGCTTACCATATACCCCAGAAATTTTCCCGAGAATACTCCAAAGGCGCACTTGCTTGGATTTAAGCGCATATTATGGGCCTTAAACACATCAAAAGACTCTTGTAAATCGGCTCTGTGGTCTTCAACCTTCAGGCTCTTTACCAATATGTCATCCACATACACTTCCATGTTTTTCCTTATTTGTTGCTTGAACATTGTGTTGACTAGTTCTGATAGGTGGCGCCGGCATTCTTTAACCCGAATAGTATCACTTTGTAATAGTATAGACCTCTACCGGTGATAAAAGAAGTTTTTTCACTATCAGGAGCATACATAGGGATCTGGTTGTATCCGGAGTAAGCATCCATGAAGCTCAGTAACTCATATCATGTTGTTCCTTCAACCAACATATCGATCCTCGGCAAAGGAAAATTATCCTTTGGGGAAGCCTTATTTAGATCTGTGAAATCAACACAAAGCCTCTACTTGCCATTTGCCTTCCTGACCAGGACCACATTTGACAGCCAATGGTTGTATTATACCTCCCGGATAAAGTCAGCCTTCAGGAGCTTCTTGACCTCCTCTAATATAGCACAGTTCCTCTCTGGAGCAAGTACCCGCTTTTTATTGTCTGACTGGTTTGAAAGATGAATCCACATTGAGTCGATGCTACACAATGGAGGGGTCGACGCCAGGTATATTGTCATATATCCATGCAAACACATCTTTGTCGTGTCTGATAAGTTGAACGAGTGAATCTTAGATGAATAGGTTGAGTAGTGACCCTATGCGTATCTTTTTTTTTTTTTTGGCTCTTTGTTAATCCAAATCGATCTCAATGAGGTCCTCCACTAGTTCTGTCCTTTGAATGGGTTCCTTCTTAGTTCCCCTTCTGGTTTCTCAATGGCCAACGCTTCCTGCAACTTTTTGTTCTTAAAGCTACAGTGTAACACTTCCTTACTATTGCTTGGTCACCTCTTAACTCACCAATGCTTTGTTCTGTAAAGAACTGCATCAACAGGTGGTACATAGAAGTGACGGCTCTTATTGCATTCAAGGTCATTCTCCCCAAGATTATATTATACGTAGATGGACAGTCCACTACCAGAAATTCTACCATCACAGTTACTTGTTTCGGACTGGTCTTGGCTATCAATGGTAGTGTGATTACACCTAAAGGGAATACCTTTTCTCCAAAAAAACCAATAAGGGGGGACTTCATTGGTCTTAACATTTCCCTGCCAATACACATCTTGTCAAATGCCTTAATAAATAACAAGTCAGCAGAACTACCATTGTCTATTAGTATGCAATGGATTGTATAGTTGGTTACGACTATCGTCACTACTAAAGGATCGTCATGTGGCTGCTGGATTCCCCTAGCATCCTGTTTTGAAAAGGTAATGTCATAACCTTCCACTCTAGGAGACTCCACTGGGGTTCATGAATCTCAACTTCATTGACTCCTACTGAGCTCTGGATTCTCATGATATAGGCTTTTCGCGTCGAGTTTAATTCTCCCCACACGCAAATCCTCCTGAAATCACCTTTATTTCTCCCAATGAGTGGCCAGGAGGGTTGTTCTCTCTATTTTCACGAGTTGGTTGAGTTGCACCTTTTTCACGGTCAGTGGCATATCTGTGCAACTGCCCACGTCGAATTAGGCTTTTTATCTGGTTCTTCAAGTCTAAGCAATCATCGGTATTGTGCCCATGATCTCTATGGAACCGGTAATACTTGGCCCTAGATCTCCTTGTTGGATCTGATTTTAACTTGGGGGGCCATTTCAAGGAGTGGTCATCTTGGATCTGCAAGAGGATCTGGCTAATCAGGGTGTTCAAGGGAGTGAAGTTAGTGTAGCTATCTTGCCCCCTGGGTACTCTAGGGGGCCTATCATTGGCAGGCTTTCTAAACTTGGTGTCTCTCTCGTCTTTGGAGCTAGCGGCTAGCCTTTTCTTGTCTCCTTTCTTATCGTCAACTCTTTTGCCTTTTCATGAATTCATGGCATCTTCAGCATTCATATGCTTCTGGGCCTTTATTAATAACTCTGCTATACTGTTTGGTAGGTCTTTTAACAAGGAAAATAGGAACTTGGAGGATTATAACCCTCCCATAAAAGTTGTAAGGGCAACCTTATCATCTACCTCGTCAACCTGCAACATCTTCGTATTAAAGCGACCAATATAATCACGCAATAACTCCCATTTGTCTTGCTTAACATTCAACAAATAAGTAACTGGCTTTTGATGTCTCTTCCCTGTAATAAAATGCCTTATGAACTATTTACTGAGTTCATCAAAGTCGTTGATAAATCCTGGATTCAATTTATTAAACGAAACCCGGGCTAACCCTTTGAGTGCATACAATCTCATCTTGAATGGCTTACAAGTTCATGAGGGACTTGAAAGTTTCTAAGTGGTCGAGGGGGTCGCAAGTTTCGTCGAAACTGTTAAGATGTGGCATCTTGAATTTTGTTGGTAATGGGAGGGCCATGATCTAAGGACTAAAAGGTAGATTCGACTTTTGAACAAGGTAATCAATTGTGTTGGGACCCTTTTCTTTTAGGGCTTAGTGTAATACCGCTAATTTTAAAAAGGATATTCCTGGTATTTAATGGTATTTAATTTATTATTTAAGTGCATTTTATTTGATTATGTGTCATTATTTTTTAAATTAGGTGCTTAATTGTTTTCTTTTGTGGTGATTTAATTTATTTAAATGATATTTATTTTTAGTTATTTGATTGGAATTACTTGTTAATGTTTTAATTATTTAATTGGCATTAATAGTTTAAGTGTAATTGATTTAGTTATTTGATTGGAATTACTTGTTAGTGTTTTAATTATTTAATTGGCATTAATGGTTTAAGTGTAATTGGTTTAATTATTCTATGTGTGTCTTATTTTATGTGTGTCTTATTTAGTTTAATTGGGTTTACTAATTATTATTTTGTTCAATTAGATTATTTGTTAAGTATTTAATGGTGAATAGGGTAATTAGGTAAATACATCCAACTAGGGTTTTAATTCCAGTATAAATTTGGGTTTTATTTTATAGCCGTCGTAGGTTTCTACGTTAATTGGATGGGCCGGTTAGGATTGTGAGTTGGACTTAAATGAACCCAGGGTTTAGGAAAACTCTAAAAGTATAAGGTAGACGTCTGTGTAGGGTTTTTTTAAACAAAGCACACGTTTTGTGGAAGTGGAGAAGGAAAAACGCAGTTTTTCACATTCTACCAAGGTTTGATCAAAGCTCCGATCCCGCTTCATCTGTGGCCGATCGAGTTGAATTTTGGAGGAAAGGTTCAGGACTCAGTGACGCACAATCTGAACGGTGGAGATCAGAGTTTGACCTTGGGAACAGTGATTCGTACTCGTGAACAGTAACTGGGTCGCACAGGTTTTTTCCATTCTACCCAGATTTCATCAAACATCCGATCCCGCTTCGTCTATGGTCCGATCGAGCTGAATTTTAGAGGAGAGGTTCATGACTCAGTGACGCACAATCTGAACGGTGTAGATCAGAGTTTAACCTTGGGAACAGTGATTCGTACTCATGAACAGTAACTGGGTCGCACAAGTTTTTTTTCCATTCTGCCCAGATTTCATCAAACATCCGATTCCGCTTCGTCCGTGGTCCGATCGAGCTGAAATTTGGAGGATAGGTTCATGACTTAGTGTCTCACAATCTGAACGGTGGAGATCAGATTTTGAGTTCGAGAATAGTGTTTCGTACCCGTAAACAGTAACCGGGTTTTGGAACTCGCCGGGATTTTTTTAAGAAGACGACGTTGAAACTTTGAACAAAAGTTTCTGAGGCAAGATTCTATCTTTACTCTTTCCCTTAGGCTTCATACTCTTTGCACTCTTAAATGATTTCAGGATTAATGAAGATTAAACCAAACTAAAATGATATCTGTTTTGCTATGAAACTGGTAGTTACAGTAGTGTTGTATGCTTGTTCAACCTAGACTAAGCATGTTTGTGGATGCATTGTGGTTCTGTGGTTCACGTTTTTCCTTTCCACTGCTAGTATAAATTATTGGAAGGATGGGTTTAGATGATAGCTATCTTAACTTCTGTAATAGCAACTGTTGGAACTTAAATACTAGGAGGATTTGAGTTTAACACTAGATCGGTTTTGTGGAACACTATAATTTGATTATGTCTACATACATACTGTGAATGTTGTTTTGATGCTTACATTATCACAGTTAGTATCAATTGTGGAGGTTAGGATTTTGTGATACATACCCTACATATCTGTATGTCATTTGTAAGGTGTTAAATGGAAGTTTTAATTAATTTTGTCTTTATATCAGACTAAAGGGAACAACTTAAATTGGGCATGTATATGTTGTTGTTGTGACCCTGTTTATCAATGCTTATTTTATCACTGCTAACATTGAATGCTGAATGTTGGAATTTAGTTAATATATACTTGATTTATTGGTATTATTAACTACTGGAGGATTGGAAAGTAGGCACCGGTATGGGACGGTGGCATACTAAGGATGGGTTTGGTTTTTAAAACAATACCATTACCCACCTACTTGGAATAAGGATGGGATTAACTAAAAGTTAAATCCCGTGGATTTGTATTGTCATGGCAACTACTTGTTGAGCGGCAATACCAGGGATTTTGGATGGATTTTATATATGTACTGTTATGGTGCCTCGGTATGAGCTTGAGCCTCAGGACCGATGGCTTGGAAGCGTATATGCATCGGGATGTGTAGCTGGCTATGATGGTTGGAGGTGTACCCTGTTTAGGTATAGGTACATATGCCCACTTCGTGTGCGTTTTAGCATGTTACCTCTATTCAGGTTGAGACCGGCCTGTAGTCCAGTAAGAGTCCTTTAGTGTGACTATATATATATTTACGGCCTATTAGCTATTGTTGAATTGTTTAGGATGTACATGCGTATCAGGCCTCTGTTTGGATTGTAGTAGTATAGAACTTGCGCGTGGGCCTGACCCACTTCTATTTTTCAGGTACACGACAGTTCCAGGCTTAGACGTGTTCGTGCTGTGCAGAGGTCTCTATTCACTCTTCCGACGATGTAGGGCTCTCTCTATAGTTTTAGTTCTGGACGTTTATTACAGTTGTTCTATCTTCTGTTTGGATGTTTAATAGGGGTCCACTAGAGATGGATTCCCAAGTTGTAAACTGATGGAGTTTTGGAGTTTGGGTTTGATGGATTTTAATAATTATAATATTTTACAGATTCTATTTTTAGTTCCTTCCAGCTTTAATTTCATTTCTTAATTTATTTTGTATTCCGTGTTCATTATAAAATATTAATTATTTGATATTCCCTCGGGTTTGGGCCTGGGCCTGATCAACCCGTGTCTCAGATCCAAAGGGTATCACACTTAGGCCATTCCTTCCACTTTCGATTTGAGATTCTAGTTTATTGATCGACGTAAGTTGCTTCAGTGCATTCTCCGATATCAAACATATACAGAGAATGAGGCATGGAAGTGCGTAGGTCTCTCTGTCGACCTCCTGCTTGACTATGTTTTACTCTGTCGCTGTCATCGTTACCTTCAGGGATGGCTAGGTGTTGTATGATTGTCGCATTTTGCTGGACCAACTGATTCATACCTTGAGTAAGGTTTTGAATCTGTTGCTCTAACGCGACAATCTTCCCATCGTTTACTTAACAGGATGCATGCTCAGACTGATCTTCTTTAGCGCGAGACTGACTAGCGCGAGGTCGGTCAATCCTGCGATAAGGTTGATCATCGTCATGATGTGATTGATGACCATCGTTGTGACGTGACTGATTCTCATCGTCATGTTGTTAACGGCTACTGTCATCACCATGCTGTGATTGATTTGCACCTTGATGCTGTTAATGTTGGCTGCTATCACCATGCTGTGACTAATTCCCGTCATGTTGTTGATGATGGCTTCTACTGTCTAGGTGCGAGGGGTGCTAGCTTCCTTCTCTGAGTTGGACTCCGGATCATAACTGAACCATTATTTTTCTAGGAAACTAATATGGTTTCCCACAGACGGTGCCAACTAATGATGCAAGATTATATCATAACCCAAAACGACGTCGTAACCTGTAGAGAAAAGAAAAAGTTATTAGAAAGGTACCGGTGAGGTACCGACCTAAAAGTCTCTGACGGCCAAGTTAGTACATGACCAAGAAGATGATTGGACTCTGTTAGGGATATTTTGTGTAACGACTCTGGATTTTTCAACCCAGTGTGTCCTGTAATGACCCAAACTGGATCTAGAATACGGAAGCAAAAGATGAAATAACAGTCTCTAGAGATACAACACGTCTCTAAGACACCAATGTGACCGTCAACGATGTCACGGAACCCAAAAGAAATAAATGCAGAAGCGGCGTTTCAAAAAAGGACAAGAATGAACCTAGGGAAAAAATGGTCATTTCCAACATGAAATTGGGTACTACCAAGCACACCATTGGAAAGACAACAAAAAACTAGTAAACTTAGACTCAAGAATCACTTGATTCGGAGTCCGGATGAAGAAGATATGACTAACGGAAGAAGAAGGGGCAAAAAGGTCAAAAGGAGCCAACCCTAGAACATCTAACCGGTTACCACACCTTCCTAACTGATTAGGAGGCCAAAAATCATGACCATAACACTGCCCAAGCACATCTAACCTGTTAGGAGACCCCTTCTAACCAGTTACGAAGCAAAAAACAGAAGGGTCATCAAGGAAACCTGGCAGCAAGGGTTTTTCGGAAAAAATTGGAATTTTGAGGGCCAAGATGACATTTTCTAGAAAAACACAAAGAAGAAACCCCCCTCAAAATCAAGTTTTCTACATGACCACTCAAAAGAAATTGAAAAAAACTCAATGTAAGATGCCCAAACTGCCCCTCCATGAAATCAGGTCATGAGGGTCCAAAAATCTGCTAAATGCAAAACTGAAAGCTAAACTTTGCAATGGGTTTCCGATACCAAGACGACATTTTCTGGAAAAACACCAAGAAGAAACCCCCCCTAAAATCATGTTTTCTATTCAACCATGTTGAAAGAAGAAAATAAAAATATAGTAAAAAGTCAAGAATGTCCCTAGATCAGATTATGCAATAAAAACGCAAAATGAGTCCATAGAAGGCTCAAATCACAAAGGATGAGGTTTTGCCCAGAAACGACCATGCACGCAAACGTAACTTACCTAGTAAGATGTGCTACAATGATCCATGGCTTAAAAATATCGCCGATACAAAATTCGATCCCCCAATGGCCAAAATAACAAAAGTGGAACTTGGAATGAAAACTCGGAATTCAAAATTATGAAATGGTTTCAAAATACCATTTGGCCCTTGGTCACACTTCATACATGGTTAAAGAGACCCTATGGAAGAATCAAAATAGAATTCCCACACCCGATGCAAACATGGTGAAGCAATAACTCAATATTTTTTAATATTTTCATAATATTCTATGAAGTCAAAAATTACATAGGATACAAATTATATGTCATTGGCCTTCGGCCTCATCTCATACATGTCAAATACATTGTAAATAGTGTATTCATGTACACATTACATATATGGAATCAAATATACATATTTTGACATATAAGGCTACAAGTGGCGTTTCAAGCCAACCTTTACAAGATTTAAAACCTTCAAGTATACAATCATCCAAGCAATGATGAACATCACGAACCAAGTCTTCGTACCTGAAACAGCCCCCCAGTAACTTCGGGTTGAGTAAACAAGTTTACTCATAGAGAATGAGCATGCATGACTCGATTTCTTATAAATTTTTACATTGACTTGAAACAATTCAAAAGGGTCATGCCACCTAACGTCTATGTCAAAGGTTAAACTCAGGGAGCATCCTAAACTACCTTAAAACATTTCTAGCATAAATCACATCATGTAAGCAATCCCAAACAACATAAGGGCATACTATACAAAGCAACAAGATATAAATTTTCAAAGTTATCAACTTAAAATCTAAAGTGCGAAAACAACTAAATATAACAATTTAGCATAGATGTACTTAACAACATCAAATTTTTACAATGTTTCATTAAAATCATACAACATAGATGTACTTAATAACATCAAAATCGTCAATAACCCAAACCACAAGTCACAATTAAACATGATTGTCAACTTGGAATTGAATGCGAAATCAAATAGTGGAAGATTTGGACATCATGCCTTGGATAAAGCCAAGACCTAAATGGTTATTCCGGGCATTAACCCGCTAGGAAGACCACCTTAATGCGCACTATAAATGGGGAGAACTCATACCTCCTGCACTAGAGTCGAACTCTAACCATGTCACTTGTAACAATGTCCCAAGAGAATCCAAAATATATCAAGTTCAAAACTTATATACAATATTAAGACATATATATCACCTTCCATGCACAAGTAGGTTGAAACCACACAATTCATGCCTTAGAGTTTCAATTCTAAAATGGCACACATAATATCAATTACAAAGTGTGCAATTCATTACACAAGGCAACAATATATTCCATAAAAAAAAACATGTTCTTATGAATATAAATATAACAACAATGATATCAAATACTCAAAACACAACCAAGTGAATACACAATAAGTCCAAGTCCATGATTTGAATATAGAAACAACTTCTAAAACACAAATAGATCCATGGAGCCACTAAATAGAATTTAATTAAACAAAATAATTAAATTCTCTAAATTTCAAATCAAATTCAAATAACATCTAATTAATATATGTTAAACAACATAGCATACTCATTACATATATCAAATCAAAAGTGTAAAATGAGCAAGATATCATCAAATAGAATTTAATTAATTTAAATTAATTAAATCTCTAGATTTCAAAAGTTGTTCAAATGATCTCAAATTAATATATGTCAAGCACTAAGTCATGGTCATACCATATATCAAGTCAAAAATGGAATACAAGCAAAACACAATTAACTAGAATTTAAATCAAATTAAATTCATTAAATCTCTAGATTTGAAAACTCATTTAAATCATTCCAATTTAATATATAATAAAGATCATGCCATGGCCATGCCATATACCAAGTCTAAAATGAGTTATATGCAAATTACGACAAATCATTAATTTCTCAAATTAACAAAAGACATGCATACAACTTATATATCACTACAAAAGTAAGGAATACCCTTAGGTAATAAATTATAACATCCCCTACCTCACAAGAGGATTGTTCCTCTTGAATCCAAGGCAAATCAACACAAAATAATAAACCTTTCAAGAGTTATAAAGAGGAAGATGAGGGGAACAAAAAATATCATAAGGTTAAGTTTGGAAATCAATGGAAGGCTTTCAAAAATCAAAGTCAAAGCTTAAGGCTTTAAGCTTCATCCATGGAGGCTAATGTTTTTAGTGAGGAAGATAATGAAACAATGAAATGAAGTGTGAGTAGAGGAAATAGAAATCCTCCACTCATTATGTGATCTTACACTTTGGTCAACACACACAAGCTTGGTCAATTGTACAAGAAACCCTTCTTTAAAACCATAATCTCAAAGTAGCCCAAAAATAATTGCAAGACTTAATTGTGAACCTACACTTGTCACAAATCCAGTGTTCCTTCCTCGGCTTAATCTCAAGCCTACACTTGTCAACCATCTAAGCTAACAAGTGCACCAATCCTAGGCCAACAAGTGGGTGAATCTCCACCCTCCAAATGTCACAAGATGATGCATCCAAGTCACTCCACCCTAATGCCAACAAGTGGCACCATGAGAATGTGACACTTGTCACATTTTCCTAAAATTGCAAAAAAATCATTTTCTAAAATATTTTCTAAATTAAATTGCAAAATGGTCTCCAAGATGAAAAATAATTATTTTATTTAATTACACTAAAACCTCACAAATTAAGAATATTATAAAAAGGTTATGTATCCATACCGTTTACAAGAAAAGTAAACACTTAACAGACTTTTCTAAGAAAGTAAAAATACACATGGTATGGAATTTAAATATCATGGATGCATGCAAAATCGGAATCAAATCCGAACACAAAAAGTGAGGTTGTGCAAGGAAAAATGATAAATGAGAAAAAGACGAAAAGTGAATAGTATCCGGAAAAATAAAAATATGGAAATGACTCGATCCTCAAAGGAAGTTGTCAATCCAAGGAAAAGAGTCTCGGAAATCATTCCAGAGCACTCGAGACGATATCAAGTGACGAAAAACGAAACACAGAAAAGAAAAGACAACGGAAAAAAAATATCCGTAAAATTCTAAGAAAATGAAAGGAAAGAAAATGACCGGATCATTACATTTTGCATACATTTTGAATTGGCTAACTACCCTTTTTATGGGGTAGGTTGTAGTATTTAATAAGGGAATTAATTTATCCTTATTTGTTCAATACGGATTGGAGAACTACTCTTTATTCATATCGCTTTATTAATTGTAGTTTATCCAACTCCCTGACTCCCATGTCTACTAGAGTCCATGTTAGATTGTAGAGTCCGTATCATCAAGCCCAAACCCATTTCTTTGGGTCAAATATCTCCAAGTCCAAACTATGATTAATAAAAAAAAAATAAACCAATTAATTAAACAAGCAAACTTCACATAAACAAGTAATGACAAGTAAAGTACATAAAATAATTTAAAATAACCTAATCAAATAAATTAATCAAATAGCCATTTAAATCAAATAATCAACAATTAGCCAAATAAACAATTAAAATAATAAATTAAATGCTCAGAAAATTAGGAGTATTACAGAACATACAACTACACCTTTAATATTAAAGACATATCCACTATTAGATTTGAAGTCTATAATATCCTACATCCAGATTGCATCATTCTTACACCTTCAATTTAGTTAGCTACCTCGATTTATGCAATATTTGACTTAGGGTATATCTCAACTACCTAATTAATTGTTTTTCAGTGATCCTATCATGAATTAAAAGTGTGAAATTAATCATAGTTATTAAGATGTCTTACAATCTCAACCAGTGATATACTTTAATTAGTATTTATATTTGAGATTTACATTTACAAAAGCTAGCTAGACTTTTGTTATCATAACTAGTATTATATCAATCTCACTCTATTAAGAATATAATATGTTATCGGATGTTAAATCTTTCATATCAAATATACTAATTAGTATATCATTAATTTTTTAAGGCGTAGAATGACTTATGCATCAAATTTATGTCATTGTCTCGGTACTAACTTTAATCCACTTAAGGATTTATAAGCTTGCACACTTAACTCTTAAGCTGGAACAATGAACTCCTTTAATTGTCCCAATAAATATTTTCCTCATAGGAAGCAAGATGCATTATTGTTTTAACCAATATTATAAATAATTTTTGGTTCTATCCAAAATCTCTTAGGATTAAGAACCTTCACATTTATAAGTATTTCTTATCTGAGGAGGTAACTCGTAGCAAATTTTATCAATGGGCAATATTCTTCCACAACATTGGGATAATCCTGAAATTTTATTTATAATGTATTTATCATGGTTTTCTAACTCTTAAAATTCCATATACTAAATATTTCACCTCATCTACCTTTCCAATGTTTTATATATTTGTTTCTCAACAAACATGTATAACAGTTTCTAGTGCATATGTACTCACATTATCTCTAGCTTGTTCTTTAGCAGGTCACTGACGTTACTGTAAATTAATGTTAGAGATATTAATTATAATGAGCTCTAATTAATATTTACTTCTACATCTCTCGTATTTATAAATTGAGTATCTACGTTTAGGTTCTTGTTAAGTCAGTCATATTAACATGTCTAACATTCCACGTATCACACATCACATAACTCAATCGGTTAAGCAAATAATTAACTTATTATTTAAGATTTATATGCAATCACAATAGAATGAGCACTCACTTCCCGCTATCATTACTAGTTAAAAGTGAGTTCTTAGCTATCACTACTAGCTTAGATTAAGCACACATTTCTCATTAATCACTATTAGTTTACATCGAATACCCACTTCTTAGCAAGCACTCTTAGCTAGTCCAATAAAATGACTTGGAAATGTTTAAAAGGTAATTCTAATATTTGAATAAGTCAACTAACCCGTCAAAAGGCAATAATGTTATTAGGGGTGTCTTTGTTAACTTTTTTAAAACTGAAGAGTGTCATTGTTCAAAAATGGGTCAAGTTGTGTCTGCTTGTTATAAACCTAAACCTCAAGGGGTATCTATAAATTACCCTTTTTTTTAGTTAACTATGTCTCATGGTGTACGATCTTGTATCTCCTATCTACTTTATTATTTTATTACTGTGATAAAGGTTGAGAGGTAGAGAAAAATAAAATAAAATAAAAAAAATAAACAAACAAACAAACTTTTGGATTCTCTACTCCATTGGTTATCTCTCCATATTGTAATAGAGAATGACAAGTGGAGTCCGTTGATATGGCGGAGTTAGAGTTCGTTGGGATGGTGGAGTTGGAGTAAAGTGTCATGTCAATGGACTCCACTTGTCATTCTCTATAACAATATCAATAGATAACCAATGGAGTAGAGAATCCAAAAGTTTTTTTTTTTTTTTTTTTTTTTTTTTTTTTTTTTTTTTTTTTTTCTACCTCTCAACCTTTATCACAATAATAAAATAATAAAGTGAATAGGAGAGAGATATGGGGCTATATACATGAGACATAGTTAATTTTAAAAAAAAGGTAATTTACAGTGACACCCCCTAAGGCTTAGGTTTATAACAAACAGATACGATTTGACCCATTTTTTAACAATGACACCTCTCAAGTTTAATAAAGTTAACAAAGACATTCCTAATAACATTATTGCCCTTTGACTGCTTAGTTAACCCATTTAAATATTAGAATTACCTTTTAAACATTTACAAGTCATTTTATTGGACCAAACAAACCAACTCCAACAATATATTCTCACATTAATGATCCAAGCAACACCACCACCACCAACAAATTACTTCAGTATTCAGTAATAAATTTACACATATAATTACTAGTAATTCAATAAAAATCTATCACTAATTAATTTTCAGTAAAATAAAATCTAATTAAAGAAATAAAAATATAATTTATTTTAATAAAAACATAACAACAATTCTATATCAAGATATATCAATAATTGAATTTCAGTACATTAATTTATTTAATAATATAGTTGAAGGAAATACTAAATAATATAATAGTAGAAGGAAATACATATTGAAATTCAATAAAAGAAAATCTAATTGGAGAAGGGAATATATAATATTAAAAGAAGATGGTCACAACGTAACAAAAAAAAGTCCAAATTAACTGTTTGTGGCTAATGATTTGATATGAATTTATATTTTTGTCTTTAGAATTAAACTATTTGTTTCATGAAAGATTATAAATAAAAAAAAAGTTTTGTATTATTAAAAAAAATATAAGATAATCATTTGTGGCTCAAATCCATCCACAAACCACAGAGCCAAATCCAACCACAGAACCACATCAATCCTCTGTTCTCTCTCTAATCTAATCATACGTTTCCAAGGAGATGAAGAAGCTGGGACGACGCCGAGCCAAGTCACCGGAAAATCATCCATGTTCCGGTACAATTCACACCTTGTTCAGGTGGGTCTTATCGGACTGGTGTGTTTCTGTTTCCCTGGCTTGTTCAATGCCCTATCGGGTATGGGCCCCTTGCAGATGTTGGGACTGTGCTTCACCGGTGATGACCCAAGCGGGTCTGTACTGCTGACGGCAAGAGAACCTACCGGCTATCAAGGATTTTACGGCAATGGAACTTACCGGCTTGGTAACGGCGAGCTTAGAACAACTAAATGGTCAGCAAGGATGACGAGAAAGCCGATGATGGTGACCGTCAGTGCGCTTGGATGACAGCCGATGATGGTGACCGATGATGGCAAGCACGACAGTTGCAGCGGCAGATAGCGATTAACAACGATGGGCAAGGATGAACAGCTGAAGGAGAGCTCGGAATGAAGCTTACCGTCGAGGCGCGAGAACGACGGCGAGCAAGGTGTTCTCGGCGGTGAAACGGAACGACGAGGATTACGGCGAGGATGGCGGGTACAGTGGGCACTCTTAAATTGGGAGAGAAGGGAAATTGATGGGAAGGAAAACCCTAGAAGTTATGGAAAGGGAACAAATTGGGGACCTTGGAGAAGAATGTGTTGGTTTCGAAGGAGGAAGAATCCGAGGGAGGAATTAGGGAATCGCGGGAATGATGATCTTCTTCTTCTTCTTCTTAAGGGATTTTGGGTTGAGATTTGAGGTTTCTCAGTAGGAAAAAGCTGGCGAGTGTTGCCAAGAGAAAGATCAGAATCACTCTCAGCGAGCACATTTCCTCTCTCTACGATGAGCTCAAAATCATTCCAGAAGAGAAATGTGTGTGTCCTAACTTTAACAATACACAATTTTTTTTTTTTTTATTAAACAAATAGTTTAATTCTAAGAACAAAAATATAAAATTTGGACATTTATGTTATATTGTGGCCCTCTTCTCTCTACGTGTACAAATTGAAAACCTGGGGGTCTTTTGTGTAATTTGTCCTTAATAATATAGTAATAAAAAAAATAATTAGAGAATGAAATATATACGGAATAATATTTAAAAACTGAATTACTGAAATTCAATAAAATGAAATATAATTAGAGAAGAAAATATAAAATATTAAAAACTTATTGAATTAATTCAATAAAAAGAAATATAATCGGATATAGTAGTAGGAAATACTGAAATTTAATAAAATGAAATCTAATTGGAGAAGTAAATATATTATTTATTTCAATAAATACATAACAACAATTTTATATCAAAATATACCAATAAAATCATAAACTAAGAATTCTATATACAAAACTATTTTTATATTTAATTTTTAATAATTTAATTAAAAAATTTATAATATTATTTATTTCACTAAATAATATGTTTTTATAATATTATTTATATATAACACAAATAATAGTGCAAAATTATTCTTATATATATTTTTGATCCTTTACAAAAAAAGATGTGTTTTACTAGTAATTATGTATGTGTAAGTTTATTATTGAATATTGAAGTAATTGTTGGTGATGGTAGTGTTGCTTGATTTATTAAAATGAAAACATGCCGTTAAAGAGGGTTAGTTTAGTCCAATAAAATAACTCGTAAAAGTTAAAAAGGCAATTCCAATATTTAAATGAGTCCATTAACTAGTCAAAGAATAATAATATCATTGTTGGTGTCTTTGTTAACTTTATTAAACCAAGGATGTCATCATTCAAAACAAGGTCTAGTTGTATTGTCTGTGATAAACTCAAATCTCATAAATTACCCTAAAAAAACAGCTAAAAAAACAAAGGTAAATAGCCACATCAGCACACCTCGGTTATCCACTTTTCAAATAGATAGACAATGCCCTTATATAATGTATCACCATATACAGATGGAATTAGTATTACAAGCACTGCCATTAATCACCACATGGACTTCAACACAATGGTAAGATTACTCCACCATCACACGTACGAAAAGAATTCAAATGAGATTCAACTCCACAGTGGAGGGCGCCTCCTACATAAACTTCCAAAGACATGGTCATTATATAATCCTTGCCATTGTCCCAAAAGAATTGGGACAAACTTCTAGCCATATCTGGTCTTAATATTAACATGTTCTTTACAGGTTTGGCTTACATACATCAATCTCATAAAATATCAGCACCCGAGTCATTTCCATTTGAGGTTTATTAACAGTATACCCTCTTCACACTCCCATTGTATGAACCGAGTCGGTAACAATTTGTTTGTGTGCATTGTACAATATCTGAACCTTATTATGAAAAATATACAGGCCTCTCAACAGTTGTCATGGAGGTACAGAGAGTAAAAATCGGACAGAAAAATTACATACAGTGCATCATGTATTCATTCGGTGCAAGTAAGCAGCTGTTGCAATCCAAGAATGTACTACATACAATGTTGGTCGACCCAATGATAGATTATCACAACTCCAACCGTCGTTCCTACTCTGATTCTATGCCTCTTCTACGTTTATGTTAGTTAAATACCTTGTATGAACTCAGTTGTCCTTGCAATTTCTGGAATAGCTTGCTGACAATCTGGACTGGGACTGAAAGAAATCAAATGGTGCCGCTCCTCCAAATGACCTCCTTGTAGAATTTGGAGAATCGGATAAAAGAGGTTCGTACACTGGATTCCTGTTCTTGGGTTGAGTAATAGATAATGGAGCCATATCTTTATCCATGTATCGTGCTTGTGGCTCTATATTTCCCAAGGATAAGATGGGCCCTCCCAAACGTTCAGCCTGCTGAAGTATGTTAATTTTACTTGATCTATATGTAAATCTGAAGTACTTTAGAGCTAGCACTGGACCCATCCCTGCTGCTACGATGAGCTGAAATGGCAAGTTCAGTTTCTAGTCAGTATATAAGCTCTAAAAAGTAAAGACTAGACTTACACAACAACAACAACAAAAAATAAAAATTAAAAATTAAAAAATAATAATAATAAAAATAAAAAAGTAAAGGGTTTATCTCCTCTCCAGCATTGAGCTTTTTAAATTTGTTGGCTTGCAACTACATCACATCATATCAGGGCATACATAGGTCACACATATACAAATAAGCAAAATCCATTGAACTAAAGACGAGCAAAAATGACAACGGTTAGTCCATCAATATGAAAGACCATTTGAGGAGTGCGACTTTCAGGGCCACTACTGTCATCTTTGCACAAAGGAATTCATTATAACAAAAAGTATCTGATTTCTAAATAAACGACAACAGAAGTTCCTTATGCCATTATGTGGCATCCTGTAATAGTAACCTAACAGTGGTATTTGGAGAGGAGCTGCACCTTAAACTAGAGAATACATGATATAGAAGTAAAACTCACCAAAATAGTTAGCCAATAAGATGGCTGTCTACACAGGCGGAACATGATTGTGTACATCCCTGTGAATGGTAAGGCACTGACAATCCAGTTGATGATATAGAAGGCAGCCAGGTTACCCCATATGGCAAGATGTTGAAATATTGTGAAGGAACTGCAAACATCAAACAAAAGCCGAGTAGTTAAACAGACTACTAATTTCAATGGAACTTTTTGCAAGAAAGAAACTATAAAAAATAGAGTACAACTATTTGGGTGCAGGATGGGACATTATTTCAGTTTTGAAAAATAGCACCTCGCCTATTGATTACCCACATGATTGTTGGTTTTTTGCCTCCTTGATGATGAAGGCAAAACTGCCAACTTTCTGGAACTTTTTATGAAAAGGATATTAAGAGAGACATAGTACAGTTGGATTATGATGAGCCATTTTCAAATTTTCAATTTAAAGAAGACAAATTATGTTGAACCAAAACTAATGAGATGGTAACTTACTTGGTTTCTAATGCTACAACGAAAGCCTGCAACCAAATACATCCAGAGAGTGCCACCATTGATAGCTCTTCCATTTCACCTTTTTCATATGCAAATGCATGTACAGTAATTATGAATACAACAATTGCCTGCAAACCATCCTTAGTTTCAGTACCATGGAATAGTTGAAAATAGTAACAGGGAAAGAATTAAGATAACCAAGCTAATCAACTAATTTAGAAATGAAGTTGATTCATTTGTGAGCTGTGTACCCAGCAGAGGTATATGTTGAATTTATAGTTCTCAAGCAAGTTTTTGAACTGATTTTAACTCTCAGAGAAGGTAGTCTGACAAGAAAGTAGTACTAAAAGAATTCTAGCTTAACACAACAACAATGACCTCCATGTTTCCATTGTATACCCTATTGGAAGGCTTATGTCGAAAATTTTGAAATCATTCCTATTTTTTTCCAATGACTTTTCCCCTCTGAAGCATGGATTCAATCTCCCCTCTCCTTGGGGTGGGAAATAAAATAAAATAAAAACTTCAAATATAATATATGTATATATACACACACACATATATATATTTATGGTGTAAGCTTCCTCCTTATCCATACTATATCATCATTGACCCCAAAAACCAGGGTGATTTTACCTGAAAATTACAAAGAAAATGTTTGGCAAATCAAATTAATGTTATTAATCTTTGTTAAGGAACTTGGTATCATTTCTCCTTCAGAAAACTCTCCACACCACCACTTTATGGTGACTCTTTCTTGGAATGGATGCACAATAAGCATGATACGGCCTTATTTTCATAGCTGTTTTTCCCATTTCAGATATCCTCTCATCACTGTGAGTGTCAAATAATTGGATATGAGTCTACCAACAGCGTACTGGTTTTGAAGCACGCTCAAACCTTTACCAACATCACCTTTCAAAACTTTCTCTCTTTCACGCTCAAAAGAAAACTTCGCCGTTAATATTTTATATACATTTGTGCCATTTTCACTAATAACTTTAGGGCAATAAAATTCCTCAATCCAATTCTTTGTGGTTCTGTTGTTAACTGGCAAAAAGAGCAGCATGCATTCAAGCGCAAACTTTTGTAGTCAATTGGCACAAAGGCAGCATTCTATCAAAAGCAAAGCCGCAAACTATCTTACAATTCTCCCAGATATTAATGTGTGCTTCAGTGTGTCACATACGGCTTTTCTTTCAACCAAGCTTTCATTAGGAGGTGGCAACAGCACAAAGTCAACATGCTTGTACAAACTATGTTATAAATGATTCTTCAACAAATAATGTGTGGCATATTGACACTTGCATCTCTCATCAGCTTCCTTTACATCTATGTTCATTGGTTTGCGTACTGCTGCTTCAAAAATCAAATTCTCTCTAATATGTTCACAATTGCAAGACCAAATTAAGAGGGTGAAGGAAATGAAAGAGGAATTAAAAAAAAAAAAAACTTTCATGCTAATGATTTAGATTTAGTAGCGCACATATTTTATATGACCATTTATTTTCATCAAAAGACATGACTTCAATTAAATAAAAAAAACATTATGTCTTTTACCGGAGCTTCGGCTCAATTCATTTTAACCTTCATTTTGTCCTTAAAAGTCCTTCCACTTGACTTACAATGTTTACTTATAGGTGCCATCACTCGTCGTTGCACGTCAAAACCTGTCTCAAACGGTTATGTCATCTTGCCGTCAAGTAATGTGGTGGATCTACCTTCTCACAAATATATTCATTTCATAATCCATCTTTTCTTGGTTTTGTGCACTTATCCATATCAATATCCTCAATATGGTAACTCTCATGTTATAAACATGTTATTTTAATTGTTCAAGTTGGGTAAAATGTTTTCCTTATAGCATAGATCATCCAAAAATCACATGAGATCCAAGTGTACATTACCCATTCTACTCTAATTGTGTGCAAAATTCACTTTGGTCTCTTCGTAAGTAGAAACCACTTGGGTTACTCTCTCCTAACGGATATATAATCAAAGATAACACAAATAGTCACTTTAGAGCAATGCTATTACAATAGGGATTCTATGGTAATTCGATTAGAGAGTCCTTGGGATTCTATGATTAAAACAATTAGGAAATCCTAGGGATCGGATTGGAGGATCTGATCAAGAAGCGTAAGATTCTCTAGAATGAGAAAAATAATAATTAATATTACCTGTGCATAATAAGAATTCTTAAAACAAACCTATTTATTTGGAAATCTAAGAGAATGAAGACAAACTTTGAAAAGTTTCCCAGAAAAAATAAAAATAAACTTCGAAAAGTTTTCATCAATAATTTTGGAGCATATTAACCCACACAAATAAAATATTTATTACCATTATTTTATTTTATTTCATTTGTTTATTTAATTTTTGGTAAGCAAGCATGCACACAGGCAAACCCACTATGACCCAACGGGAAGTATGAGGAGATATTAAATGTAAAACATAAGATGAAAATTTTCATGACACTGTGAGACACTGCATGAAAATCTTCAGCTTACACATGAAAAAATAAATACCACTTCACAAGAATTCACACAGCCGACCTCATTCGTATGGGATTAAGGAAAGGATGATGATGATTCATGAAGGATTCTGTACAGAATTCTATTTGGAGAAAACAACAAAAATGAGCACTAAAAATTTGAGTACATAAAAGACTGACTGGTTAATATCATACTAAGTTTTAGAGAGAGCCAATAAGCGGATTTCACCATCCATTCGGGCTGGCTTCCTTAAGTTCAATTGGTTGTTGAGGAAGATTTGTTTAAAATCTAATTTGATTCAGGAAACTGACTTTATCGATGCTTTTCATAGCGAATTTCATACCCGAAGGGAATAGACTTACGAAGACCAATGTTAACGGTTGCAGTAGGGTTTATAAATCAAAATTTTACTACTTCTCAATTACATTTTAAAAAATTAAATATTCCTAAACCAATTGTTAAATTGGTGTTAGTTTGAAGAGTGGTCACAAATTAAAAGCTTATTGAAAAACTTTGGCGTACTTGTCTTTATTAGGAAATTTAAGTTGTTTTTAGTTTTTGTTTTAGAATACCATTTGGATCTTGTGTCCTAACTTATGAGAGAGCATAAGAATAACATGTACGATAAAATCGGTAGAATCAGAAGCCAAATCGAGATCCCAAGGTTCCTGTGATCCTATAGGAATTCCTAGCCAAATCGAGATCCCAAGGTTCCTGTGATCCTATAGGAATTCCATAAGGATTCCACCCTCCCGGGATTTCCTGCGATATCGAAAACATTTCAATATTATTTGAATTGTAAGATTGTAGAATACTAGGATCCGGATTGGGACTTTAAAAACTATGACTTCAGACTATATTTGGCTTTTAATTTAAACTATTTCCTTAATCTAGTCCTTTGTTAATATTTTCTATTTTATAGATCAAATCTAATAAAGGGTGCCAAGGGGATGCAACAAACTGAGCATGACATTTCATCTTTGAACTGGAAGCTCCTCACCCTCAAAGGTCAATCTACTCCACTCCTTCCCAACACACTACCGAAGACGCAGATGTGCTGCTGATCATACCAGGCAAACCTTCTTGCAGGCCATTCCCTCACCTTTTTCCCATGACACCACACCTTTGGGAATTGGAACCAACCTTGACAACCAAATGAATGCTGAACAGAGACCACAGAATAAGAATATTCTTGCCAGCACATAGTGGAAAAGAAGACAATTAATTGTTTCCTCTTCCTGTTATAAACATACAACACCAGCTTGGGATCAGGATCCCCAAGTTAAATTTGTCTAAGTTATCCTAAGTTGAATTCATAATGAGTTGAAACATGTTATTCTTAGTAGATCTATGGCTTTAAAAATGCCACAACAGTCTCTTTGAATTATAATAAAATGCAACATTGCTTTTTGAGATTAATTTCAAGAACGCCGTTAGCACACGACATCGACATGCACTCTCCACCATGTTTGTTTTCTTTAATGGCTGAAACAGATTTTCTCTATCTATGCCTTTCTTTTTCTCAGTCATGCTAGTTGAAATCATCTACGATCGCTACCGCTTCTCCCTATGCCTTCCCATTTTCAAACCCTATTCCTTTTTCTCTCCATATTTTTTTACTCTAGCATACCATAGCAGATCTCTAAATCAGGAGCACTCACTTGCATCTCCAAAGATTGCCTGATAGTAATACCACATCAATTTACTTCAAATCTATCATGAAGGGTGAACTAATTAAGCCTCTTTCCTCTCTTCTATGATTTGATTGATTAGTAACAATCGACTGGTAGAGAACAGTGGCAGCAAGTAGAAGACAGTGGCAGCAACTTTTTAAAATGTATAAAAGGCGTCGAAAAGAGGATTCTAGAGCTTAAACCTTAATTTGGCGCATGCTAGATGATGGGGGGTCCACTTGGAGGCTTGCATAATTAGGGGGTTTGGTCAAAATGCATTATTTTGGTAATTGCATTAATTATGGTGAAATTGCATTGTTTTGGTAAGTTGCATCAATTAAATTATTTGTTACTTTATAAAGCTAGAGTCAACTTTTGATTACCTCCATTGTAGGGTAATCCAAGGGTCAAAGGATACTATGTAATTCTGATTACTCAGTAAATGAATGAATAAAAAATATCCTTTGAGATTTCTTTGTGAGAGATTCACAAATTATGAGGGTGTGAGGCCTTCTCTAGGTGTGATACCTAGGTCCTGTTGGAGTGATTCCAAGAGGTTTTTGTTTTCTAGTTGGTGTGATGCCAATAGGCTTTTTCTTATTTTCAAATCATTTATCTCTCTTGAACCATAATCTGTTTCTCTGACCTGTTGGTGTGATGCCAATAGGCAACTCTTATTCTATTCTCCTTGATTTCATACATTTCTACTATCAAACCTCCAAATTTCAGCCCTAGTTCTTTGAACTTTCAGCCTCTGAATTCTGTGCGTCTTTATCTATTTAAGGCTGCATCAGTTTTTGGTATCAGAGCCAGAGGTCATGGGTTCGATTCGCAAGAGCCCATCGCATGGGGGAGGGATTGTTGGCTGGTGTCGCCACGCAATGCTGCTCCTTGCACGGGTGGGCCTTGGTGTCGAATGCCATAAAAGGCGTGTCCTTCCCTCACTGGACACCAATTGAT